TACTCTCACTGTTTGAAAAGTGCTCTGGCCTAAAAATAAATCAGGCAAAATCAGAAATGCTATGGCTTGGTTCCATGCGCCATAGGAAACTGAGACGCAATCTGCAACCTTCAAATTAGCGATGATCCTGTTTTCGCGCAAGGGGTGCATTTTACTTACAATATTAAATTGTCTCATAAGAAAAATTTCTATGAAAAATTAGGATCCCTAAAGACAACCTTAAGTGTCTGGTCCCGAAGAGACTTACCTATATACGGTAGAATAAACATTGTTTAAACACTAGCCCTCTCCAAACTTGTATTCATCTCCAGCGTTATGGAGACTCCAAAAAATATTGTTCGATTTTATCTGGAAGCAAAAACCCGCCAAAATAAAAAAGAAAACCCTAATCAAGAAGAAATCGGATGGCGGTCTTGGCATGAAAGATTTTGTTCTATTCGATGAGGCTTTGAAACTAACTTGGGTAAAACGGCTGTGCTCCGACTTGGATGCACCGTGGAAATATATTCTAAAATCATCTCTCTCTACTGTTGGCGACACTGAGCTCAGTCAATGTAATTATGACTAAAACCTTCTTGATCTTATTGGCTATCCTCTGGAATTTTACAAACAAATTATTCGTCATGCATTGGCAAGAAATCGTGTCTACGACACCTCACAGCAAGACCGAGATACTGTCGCAGACAATCTGGAAAAGCAAATTCATTACGATTGACAAAAAATGGTATATCTGATTCAATGGTACCGAGCAGGAATAAAGCAAATTTCAGACCTCTTTGATGAGCATGAAAATTGCTTCCTGTCTTTCCTTTCCTTGCGCAATAAATACACGCTAAACTGCAACTTTTTACAATATCATGGCCTTATATCCACGATCCCCCAAAGTTGGAAGAAGCTCCTTCACGTTAATTCTGGCGACTCTACTACAGCCCTGCGGCCAGTCTGTACTATAACGTGCGAAATGGTATCAGACAAACTGTTAACCCTTGAAAATCTTCCTCCTCCCACTTCAGAAAAAAAACTCTTATCATACGGTATCACGAAAAGAATCTAAATAAAATTTATCTTCCGCCGTTCAAAGCCACAAAAGAAGTTAAATTCGCAATATTTCAGCGCAAAATTATACACAAAATTAGAGTCACGAACAGCATATTTTACAAAATGAAAAAGGTTGCCTTCCCATCCTGTCCTTTCTGTCCCTCTGATAGTCAAAACATACGTCATTTGTTTGTTAGCTGCCCGCGAGCGTCTTCTTTTTGGGATAAGTTCCAAAGTTGGTATTCTACCGCAAGTAATGCGAGTTCACTTCTCTCCAAGCCAGAGGTATTATCTGGAATTACTCGTCCCTGTACGCACCGTTTGACCCTCAACCACCTCATAATGCTAAGCAAATATTTTCCA